AGCAAAAGTAACGTTGAAGGGAGAAAGATGTCTGATGAAGATATCATTGCTTTGGCCTCGACTGAAGGTAAATAATCTGAAATGTAGTATAATCACCCATTAAATCTGTTTAACACTACGTTTTTAAGTTGATTTTTAGTTACAGAACAGGGCCACAAAATAATCATTAAAGTTCATTTTTCGTGTCAGGAACCTTTAGGTTCGTTAAGTTTGGTTCTACAACTGGGACGTGTTTTTACCAGGTAACGAGTTATGCTCTTTCACGTTATTTTAAACACGGCTGAAAGCACTTGGGTCAACTCATCAATTGTATAAACATTTTATCTCGAAATATATAATAAAGCAACCTCTGGTAGAGTATGTGACAAAGAGGCGTTACAAATCAGACACTTTACATGCTTCATGAATCTTGCTGTGTGTTAACACGGCAAGAATAGCATTACTTTCCTTTCCTTCAATCATTATACTAACAATTTTTCTTCATCCCAAAATATTGTGTAGCTTCCTAGTGGCTCGAGTCAGTTTTCGTCGTCATGTGTAAGCTCAAAGTAAGTATCTGAAGTGAACATTGGCAGGAGGAGCCGACGGAGTCTGTTCTTCTAAATAACTGTTCTTGTACGAATTTTGTCCTTGAAAAACATTTTGAGCTACATTGTTGACAATCTCACAAGCAAATGTGACGTCCTTCTTTAACATAATTTTGTTTCTTGAAAACGTTTTTATGGTCAAAAACGGCTTTTATTTTTTGGGGTTAGGACAATTTTTTATTTTCCTGGCAAAAATTCTTAGAAAGTATTCCTTGATTGGAGTTATTTTTTTACTGAATTTCTCGATGGCAACCAGTTGTGACTTACAGCTGGCTGGGACATAAGAACAGATATATTTCTCCCAGGAAACCATCGGCTCCTCCTACAATGGCTTACAACTTGTTTCGGGAAAATCGTTTAATGGCTCTAATCATTATTAAAACGTTTCTGTTGTACTTCCTAAAGCTGTGCAAGAATGATCATGTCGCATCATTATCCGTACAAGTGGGAATCAAACTGCAAAGGAATCAGCGTTGGATATAAGACTGTCTATCGTGGTAATTTAATTAAGATACTATTTTTGCTGCTGCTGCACCTGCTAGCTAGTTGCTGCTATAGTTACGGCTATGTAGCCTTTGTAACTATGACAACTTTCATTGTTCGTTTATCTTTTTTAGTGTTTGATAACCATGACGACGTCGAATGTGGTCATCCTTGGAGATCTTCAATCTACAGTAGTGTCGGTATGAACACTAAACTAATTATAGATCAATCTCATCCACTAACACCTATGAAAAGTCACTGGCYTATACACTTATCGATTCATTGTACAATTATCGATTCATTCTGCACACCTATGCATTCAAAGTAACCACCTCTGGAAAAAATCGCGTGCTTCAAAGGTTGTAAATTTGATTTAAATATGATGTAAGCGTCCAAAATTCTGTAAATTTAATGGAAATCATTTACATCAAATTTACAGAATTTTGGACGCTTACATCATATTTACATCAAATTTACAACCTTAAAAGCGCGCGATTTTTTCCAGTGCACTAGAGTCTGTAATGTGAAGCCCTGTCTCTAGATACACAGTGGCAGACATTGTATTGTATAACCCTTCTTGAATGACGATTTAATGGTTGGCTRAAACATAATCGATATATTGTTATTGACTGATTGCAGGGAAAAACAGATGTCTTTATGGATACTCGCGAAATGGCTACACCGGTTTTTATTACAAAAAAGAAGGATTAATGTTTGTTAGATGAGCATAACAAAATACACATGAAAATTACAACCAACCAACCAACCAATAAAGCAAAAGAAATAGTGAGCCAAAATACATGCAGCAAGATATGTGATGAATTGTTTAAATTTTAAAAGATTGATATGTGCTAAATTAAAATTAGAACAGAGGTGAAACTTGGAAGGTTGTTCATGGCGACAGTCAAAGATGATGATTTGGTTATGTAAACGGTAACTGTCGATATTTGCAAGCAGTTGGTCAATCTTCTATGAGACTGTATAATAGCACCAGCTACTTGGGCTTCCTGTGGTCATCAATTTAAATTGGTGGATACGTATTAATAAAAATCGACCGACCGACCGACCGACCAATGGTGGGCCAAAATATTCAAAATTTCAACACGTCGTTACTCAGAATTTGACGAAATAGCACCATAATAAAGATTGATAAGTGATAAAGTTAAAATTATAACAAAAGTTTAATAAGGTAATTCATCGCGACATTCAAAGATCATAGTTTGTTGCGTTTTAATATTTGTAGAAGGTTTTAATCATTCTGTAAAAAAACYAGTGAAAAGTGTTTGTTTGTTTATTTTACATTTTCATCAACTTTCGTTTTTTAAGGCTACATGAGTTACATTGGTTTTATGTCGCTCTCTGACGCGCAAGAGTCACACTTCTGATTCTCTTGTTTTCGTGTTTTTCGTTATATTGAGAATTTAATAAAGCACCATGGAGGTCGTCTTAAAGTTTTCAATAGTGAGCTGATGTGATTTGAATGAAATGTTTTTCTGTTCATTAATTATTCATTTGCGTTGACTTTGTAAACATTTGTTKCTTGAACTTACTCGACATATCGACGTATGGGAAGACTCTCAAGTCTCAAMAATACATACGTCGCCCTGTTGAAGCAAAAATGTCGTTCAACACTTTCAAATGATAAGTAAGTAAACGAAATTTTCATGCAAACAAAAATATGAAAACAATGGGATATCATTTCTGATTGAAATTCTATGAATAATGACTGGCACTGCTGTGTTTTAGAAAAGCGCTTTTAAACATTCATATTTGATGAGGTTTTTATCGTAAAGGAATATCAAAGTCAGGTAAACTTATCATAAAACCATGTTTTTATGAAGTTCATTTATTCGAAATCTGGGCTTCCTGTGGTCATTAATCCTAAATTTATAATAAAAATTAACGAAATATTTATTTTTATGTTATATGAAAATTAACTATATCATATTCATGTAAAAATAAATTAAGAAAGGGAAAAAAATAATGAAAATGAATAGAAATTGCATAGAAAAAATGCAACGACCCTGTCTGTGGCTCGAACTCCGAACAAAATAACCATGGCGTGCTTGCGTCCCCCTGACAAAGAAAAAGAAAATAAAATGAAAAAATAAAAGGTTGGGACGATTCCCCCGAGACATTCGATGAAGCTGAGGCGTCGAATCGGCTTACGTTACGGTTAGAGATTTCGGCTCTTCCACGCTATCCCGAGTGAACATAAAACTTAGTCKTAACCAAAAGGCCAGGGAGTGAGGGGGTAGCCGCCCACTAGAGCATACCTTTAGCTACCCTCTTAGACCATCGTACTATGAAGACACTTATAGATATCTAATATCTAATTGGGGTAGTCTATTCGGTGAAGTTCTATTGTTATGATAATAGTGACGTCAAACCCCCAGGTATCTCAACGACCAATCAGATTATAGTCTACCTGAGCTCTGCTTGAAGAAGCCGAGGGTCATGTTTATCTAATGGGGGTAGTGAAGGGGCGGTGTTGCCTCTGATGCTGATGGTCCTTAGGGACATGTTCAAGACAATGGGAGCCAATCATTATTCATATCTTAATGATAATAATTTATCGAGCTAGCACGATTTTTTGGGGTTATCTTATGTTTTATTATATGCTTTTTTCTTTCTACATGTACACATTCGTATATAATGAAACGTTGTTTACGATTCTGTAAGTTGACTAATCGCTAATTTCACTGTGGATAACGAACTTCTTTCCGCTCTCAAAGACCAGCTCTGCAAAGACACAACGAAGGAAGAAAATTCAGTATGTGATGGTATGTTTGAATAATATTAGTTCAGAAAGTTCTATTTGTTGGTCAWTATGATTTCAATCTGTTCAAAAGCGAATGAGTTGTAGCCCGCCCGTTCAAATACGCCAAATTTCCAAAGAAATCAAGATTCAGTGAATGTATCCTGAAAATGGTCAAAAACCGCTCACATTCGGCTTCACGGCATCCTAATATATTTCTTTCTCACTAATTCTAGCATATTTAAAAAAGCCTGTAACTCTGATTCGCGCCAAATTTTGAGATTATTATATGCAATTCTGAATATGGTCTTTCTTTGTCGGATGTCTTGTCTCTTGGGTATCTCAATAATGGGATTTTGTTCAGTCCCCCATCGAATGACAATCAATTCAATGAAGCTCTTTTTAAAGGCATGGCGTCATGTGATTTCTGTTTCATAAATGATGCTTTTTAATGAAATGTTTCTTTCTGTTCATTAATAATTGATTAATGTTGACGTTGTCAAGTTTGCTCTCATTGAAAAGGTAGTTTTCATGAATGAGTTCTGAATACTAGAAAACTTATTTGGCATGTATGGGAAACAGCCACAGACTCTGATCTGCCAACTATCTTATTGATCGAAGTAAAAATGTCGCCCAATGCTTTCAAAAACATGAACAGTAAGTAAAAGAAATGCATGTAATCCGAAATACAACAAACAACGAAAAAAACGTCAAACGTCATTTCTGATTACCGTAAGCTATTTTTCGCGTGTTTTTCTCATGATTTTTCTGTAAGTATCATCAGATTTGACGCCTAGTAGGGTAGCGGCAATGAGATATAATGCTTTTTTAGTGAGAGTGAGTGCCAATCGCAAGGACTAAAAGTCTAAAACCATTAAATCCCTAAGCAACAACAATTTTGATCCTTGATCCATGCATAGATATTACTGGCATTTACGATTTAAAAGCTAAAAAGCTGATCCCTGAATCCAATAAATAAATCGAAAATGGGATCTCTGAGACCAAAACTAAAGCTACTCACTTTGTATATACATTGTATATACCTCGTTAGTACTATACTCTGTCGTCATAGCTCAAGAGGTCGCATTTCAAACATGATTGACGCATTGRCCACATATATCTCAAATAATCATGGTCTAGGCAATCATAACTGAAAACTGAATTCGGTAACTCGTGTTAATCATGCAAAGAAGCTATAAACACAAGTCAAACTATCGATCAACTCTCATCATTTCAGGCTTATTGATATATATATTTCATGATGAAATCGATTGCTGTCCAGGCCCTCAGCTGTAACGTGTTTCGATCGAGTCCTGGTACCTACTTGAAGGGACACGTGTTTCATACGTCATCAGTCCCAGGCCTTCAACAGTGTACCGCGGCTTGCCTCAACCATTATCAGTGCAAAAGCAGCAACTTTGGTTTTGTAAACAGAACGTGTGAACTGAACAACGTTGATAAATTTGATTCTCCATCTGACTTGGTACCGAGACCAGGGTTCAGCTACAGTGGTTGGAAAACCAAACAGCCTTCCAGGGTAATAGGCCTTTTGACTGAAATGGTCACAT